GCCGGATTCCCCACAAGCATCAGAAGGGCCTCTGGGGCCACTTGTCAGTAGACATTCAAAGAGAGCCCAGTCCTCTTTGACAGCCGGTGCTGGCAGTGGTGACTACTAAGAGCATGGACATGTTGCCCTGAGTGGAGCCACTTTCTGGAAAAAGCATGATCTAGATCCTCCTCTTCCCAACTGTACACAGTGACATCTTACTGCCCAATGGTACGTTATCTGGGATTCCTTGCAAAAAAGCATTCCATGGTCAAATAAGTTTGGGAAACACGTTGCCCTGAGTGGAGCCACTTTCTGGAAAAAGCATGATCTAGATCCTCCTCTTCCCAACTGTACACAGTGACATCTTACTGCCCAGTGGTACGTTATCTGGGATTCCTTGCAAAAAAGCATTCCATGGTCAAATAAGTTTGGGAAACACTGAGTTAGACAACACATGTCTCCGAACTGCAGGATTTCTCAGGGCATTTACATGCCATGTGTACTGCAAGCCTTCCAGAGGCGAGACAGGTTGCAGCATCTCTCTAACCTAGGGGGCCAAAGAAGCCTGTTCACAGGATATCCACGACCACGGAGATGTGATACTGAGTTAGACAACACATGTCTCCGAACTGCAGGATTTCTCAGGGCATTTACATGCCATGTGTACTGCAAGCCTTCCAGAGGCGAGACAGGTTGCAGCATCTCTCTAACCTAGGGGGCCAAAGAAGCCTGTTCACAGGATATCCACGACCACGGAGATGTGATGGAACTTGGGAAGAACACAGCTCTGAGTCACCTCTGAGTGGCAACGCTGCCATGGGATGGAGCTGATGCAGCCAGAGTCCACCGGCCACTTCCAGAGGATGTATCTGGGAGGCTATCCCCGGGGACTGGCAGGGCCAGAGTGGCACAAAGTTAAGAGTGCAGATTTGGAAGTCAGACCATCATGGGACTGAATCCCAGCCCTACCACTTACTGTACTGAACCTATTACTAGGACATTACCACATCTCTGGCGCCTCAGTTTCCCCATCTCTAAAATGGAAATGATAACTGCTAGGATTGTTGTGAGCATTAAGTGACATGATTCAGTGTGAGCCACAGGGCCTGGCCCCCGGTTAGTAGTTGGGTAGCGGTAGCTGATATTGTTGCTGCTGTTATTGTGACTGCTGCTATTATTACTAGTCCTTTATTATTATTATTATCCAGAGAAAGTCTCCCAAATGGGTGAGACCACAGCCCCAAGATGAACTTGAGTGATCTGACTTGTGGATTTCTGCATAATCACTGACACTCGGGGCACAGAATGTCAGGTGGGAGGGGGATGCCCCGTGTCCAAGGCTTTGGAAACAACACAGAGCAGGAATCAGGAGACCCGGGGTGGGGTCCTGCCTCCTGCACCTCCTGGGTGTGGGCCTCTCTGAGCTTCAGTGTCTTCATCTGTAAAATGGGGCACTATTACCTGCCTACCCTGCCCTGCGGGGTTGTTAATATTTTGGGGGCATCACCCACAAACCACTCTACCTAATATGGGTCATCTCACTGATTTCTCACTGTAAACCTGTGAGGTAGAAATAATTACCAGCCCCATTGAATAGGTGGGATAACTGAGGCACAGATAAGTAACTGGCTGAAGGTCAGTGGTGGGAGGATGTCTGGGGAATGGCAGGGAGGTGCTTTGTAGACAGTAGAGGGCAGCGCCAACCTAAAGAACCCTCCTGAGCAGTCAGAAAAAGCCTAGGGTTGTCCTGGGCGGCCCCACCCCAGGTGCCAGGCCCCGCCTTGCCTCGGTCCTGGGGATGGTCAGCGAGCCATTGTGCAGCTGGAGGCGGAGACGGCTGCCCCGCAGTGGAAGGCCGTCTTTGAGCCAGCGGATGTCAGGCGCTGGGTCTCCATGGGCCACACAGTCTAGCCGGACACTGCCCCCCACTGGTTCCACCAGGTAGGAGAAAGCTTCCCCTTGTAGGACAGGAGCCTCTGCATGGGGTGACATCAAACAAGTGGTCGTGAAAGAGGCTCCCATCAGGCTCAACCTCCCATAAACCCATCCCCAAAGGCCTGCCCACCCGCTGCCTCCAGGGCCTACACAGGCTCCTGCTTGCCCAGCATGGCTGAGTACCGTCCGTGCATCAGGGATGGCACACAGTGTCCACGTCATGGGTCAGGTAACATAGACTGACAGTGGCTACCAGCAACCGTACTGAGAAGGATTTGAAGCTTAGTGGGAGTAGTGGTGATTGATTAGTGATGCCTGAGATGGGCACAGGTGAGAATGCAGGGTTACGTGTGCCATATACTCGCTCTTGCAGATGAATTACACCAGCTGCAGAGTACCCGCTGGGTACTTTGGAAAACAAGAACTGGGGGAAACGAGAACATTAGGGCACCTCTGTTGTACACAGCAACACTCAGAGATTCGTGTGCATCTCAAAACACCCTCAGGATGTCCTGTGCCGGTGCCCTACTTCCTGGGGTCCTGAGGTTGAATCTACCAAAAGCTGCAGCTGTGTCCTGGTGCCTCGGGCTGCTCCTTCCTTCCAGCAAGCCCCACCCATCCCGAAGCTGAGCAAACTAAGTCACAGTGTCACCAAAGGTGACTGTGCTGCTTCTGGTGGAATGAGGCCATAGGGGACAATTGGCAGGTTGGCAAGCTTCAGGCATTTATCTCCCAGGGTACCCTGGCTCTCATGCCCTCCTCTCACCCAGGCCAATTGGTCAGATTACATCTCTGCCTGCACCGGGGTTGACCAGGGAGTGTCAAGAATACTGATGCCGCATCTCTACCCCAGAGAGGCTGGTCTACTGGGTCAGGAGTCGAACGTGGGCCTCAGCATTTTATAAAGTCCCCTAGGAGACTCTATAGTGCAGCTGGAAGTGGGGTGGGGAGACCCACTAGTTCAGAGGACAGGAAGCCAGTTTCTCAGAAAACCAATAGATTGGGTTTCATGGAGTTCTCAAGAGAAAGGCCATATGGGCAAAGTCCTACCCTTCACGTGGACAAAGCTGACCACCTGCACACGGCCCACTCTGTTCTCGGCCCAGCAGACATAGGTCCCGCTGTCCTCTCTGGTGACCACTGCCCGCTGCAGCGTGCTGCCCCCATCCTGTTCAGACACGCCCTCTGTGGCGAGAAAGACATGCTCCAGGGGACTCTGAGTCCAGATGCAGGGACCTCCTGCCCGAGGTACTTCACTCAGGACTGGGTACCCAGCAGGTGCTTAATGAAGGGAGTGTCCCTCTCCCTGGGTGGCAGCGTGGCAGGCACAGGCCGTATCAGAGGATGTGGTTGAAGAACCTGCCTTTCACCGTCTTCAGGCGTTTACTGTGAGTTTGATAACAGAAACTCTGCCATGGTTCTAGACAGATGGATTCTATTAGCTGGCTTTGTTTCCCTCCGCCATGGGTTAGACAGTGCACTGACAGCAGGGATAAGGACACACATTGCCATCGATTGGGCATCTACTCGGGGTGAGGCCTGGTGCCAAGCGTGTTCGATCATTCCGTGCACAGGACCCCTTGTTAATGAAGAAGCTGGCCTCAGAGAGGCTGGTTCACTTGCCCACGGTCTCTCCCCAGGAAGTTCTGGGGCCCAGCAAGGCCTTCACCACCTGGACTTGGTTTTAGGAACATATGATGTCTATTCCAATGTAGGAAAGTACTATTTTGCATTAGAAGGGACATAGCAATTTATCAATTCAGCAGACATTTATTGAGAACCTACTAAGTATCCTGAAGGCCCTGTGTCTCCCTAAAAGTCTCCTGGGTCCCAGGTGGGAGGACAGAGCTGTCCAGGGAAAGAGGTTTGCTGAGGGTCCCGCAATGGGAGCAGCAGCTCTAGGCTAGAACACAGCCCCCAGGCCCTGTAGAGTTAAGTCTTCCTCTCAGGTGGCTTCTTGGCGGCTCTGATATATGGCTTGTCACATTCGGTCATGCATGGGTTTTCCCCTCCCCCCACGTAGGGCTAAGTTTGGAGACCCAGAACCCACAGAGCTGGCTGACAACCTCTTCCTCTCCACTAGGTTGGGTTTCCCACCTGCCCTCCCTCCTCGACCTCCCAGGGTCATGGGTCTCTGTCCCACCCGCCCCAAGCAGGCCCAGACCTGTAACTGGCCGGTTGTTGATAGTCCAGCCAATTCGGGGCGTGGGGCTGCCCCGGGCTGCACAGCGAAGCCACAGCCTGTCCCCGAGGTGCAGGCTGTGGTCCCCAGGCAGGGTGGTGAACACTGGCAGTGCCAGGATGGTGAGGTGCACACGGCGGCGGGCCCGGCCCACGGCGTTCTCAGCAGTGCAGGTGTAGGTGCCCGCATCCTGGCCCTGCTGGCAAAGGGAGGGGTCAGCCTGAGAGCTGCCCCCTGCTCCTGGTCTGGGCCAGAATGTCCCCAGGGGCCCAGTGCCCTGCAGGTTCCCCTGGAGCATCCAGCCCAGAGAGGTGAAGTGACTTGCCCAAGGTCGCACAGCTAACAAACGGGTCTGCTTCACCAGCACACCACAGGGCCTCCCTGCAGCTATCGTGTGGCTCTGCACTTTCATAATCCCTGGCCACGTGGTGGTAACAGTCATCATTTAGTGAGCACCTACTGCATGCCAGAACTTGTGCTCAGAACCTGACCTGCACCAGCTCGAATCCCCACTGCCCAGCCATCTGCAGAGTGGCCCGTTTTGTAATTACAGAGTCTGATGCGTGATGATGAGGGAAGGAGGTCGGGGTCCCACCTACACCCCTGGCTCAACATCTCCCCCAGACCATGGAGGACGGTTAACATCAATGCGTGGTTGAGAACAACAGGCTGTACTTTGGGGACACAAAGTTGCTGCCACATTCCCGCTCCCCCAGGAGCTGGCCACAGGCTGGGTTCTACAACACCAAGATCAAGGGCTCAGATCCTGTACTGGCCAGCCATCAGAAACAAACAAACAAAAATCCTGGGTTCTGCCCCTTGGCAACATTGTATCTTGGGACAACTACGCCCATCTGAGCCTCGGTTTTGTCATTGGTACCCGGGACGATGACACGTATTTCCCCAGGCTCCTGGGGTAAAGACTGCACAGTGCTCAGTGCCGAGAAGGACAAACGGTCTCTGCTCCCTGCGTGTTTCTACCACTCCCTGTGCTCCGGGGCCGGTGCCCTCACCTCCGAGTTTGTCACCAGCAGCTCCCCAGAAGGCTGGATGGTGAACTTCCCCTGGGCTCCAGACACAGGCTGGCCGTCCTTCTCCCAGGCGATGTCTGGCTCGGGACTGCCCCTGGCCGTGCAGGGCAAGAGGGCATGGGAGCCTTCGATGGCGGACAGGTCAGGGAGGCTGGTCTCAATCACAGGAGGGACTGCAGGGAGATGGAGGTCCACTAGGGGACTGGGGCTGGGCGAGGGTGGGCTGCCCTGCCCAGTGCCCTTGGCATGGCCCCTCAGCCCTCCCCACCATCAGCTGCAACCCCACCAACTACCTGGTCATAGATCATTGTCCATGGTATGAACAATCGGGGGACTCTCTGAGTTTGGTGAGGCTGTGACAGGGTGACCCTGTGGCACCTACACACATGTACACACATGCACACACACACACACACGATGACCAACAGCCTCAGCACAGAGGCCTTGGTGATCTCTGCTGGGGCACAGACTCCTGCGTCAGGTGGCCTCCAGGACCAAAAACAGAGCAGCTATCACAAGACCCGCACATTTTCCTCCTCTGGGAAAGGGTGACCAGCGATGCTCCAGGTCACACGGGAGAGGAGCATGCAGGACAAGGAGACTGGAGCCAGGAGCCCCTCTGAGTCCACAGACCAAGTCCCGCCGCAGCCCACCTTGTACCACCAGTCGCGTTTTCCCCATGGCGCTGCCCGCGCTGTTCTGGGCGATGCAAAAATAGTTTCCAGCATCCTCTGGGCTAGCGTGGCTAATCCGCAGCTGTCCGCTGGGTAGGACCCAGGTACTCACTCCTGGATGTTGGGGGGAGAAAATCGGGGGCCAGTGGCTAGGGTAGGGGAGACCCCCGAGGAGGGTGGCTTGAGCTGTTCTGCCTGACAGACAGCACATGACTTGCTGGGGTCACAGAGTGACCGAGTGAGAGACAGCAGGGAAGCCCGGCCAGCTCCTTGATGTTGGGGGGAGAAAATCGGGGGCCAGTGGCTAGGGTAGGGGAGACCCCCGAGGAGGGTGGCTTGAGCTGTTCTGCCTGACAGGCAGCACATGACTTGCTGGGGTCACAGAGTGACCGAGTGAGAGACAGCAGGGAAGCCCGGCCAGAACCAGGGCGAGCACGCCCCCAGCCTCTGATCTCCCAACTCAGTCGCCGAGTGCTCAGACAGAATCTCAGGCCGTGGTGGTGGGAGAAACAAGGGCAGGGGGTGGGGGACCTGTCTCTGGGCAGGGCAGGGGCTTTCTGGACCTCCCAGCAGGTCTGCGGAGTCTCCTGGGAGAGGAAGGAGAATCCTGCCTCCCATCTCAGTCGCCGAGTGCTCAGACAGAATCTCAGGCCGTGGTGGTGGGAGAAACAAGGGCAGGGGGTGGAGGACCTGTCTCTGGGCAGGGAAGGGGCTTTCTGGACCTCCCAGCAGGTCTGCGGAGTCTCCTGGGAGAGGAAGGAGAATCCTGTACTCTTTCCTTCCCCTCCAGAGCAGCTGCCATGGGGACTCACCTGCAGGGACGCTGAGCCCTTCTTTCTGCCAGGTGATGGTTGGCCGGGGTATGCCCAGGGCCTCGCAGGGCAGCAGCACCTCCTCCTCTGCCACTGCCCGAACCACAGTGGGCAGCGGCTTCACCACGGGGGAGGCTGCAAAGGAACGGTGGTGCGGAGGTCCCTGGGTTTGCCATCAGTACCCAGCTCCCCCAAGGGGGCCTCTGAGTATGAGGGAGAGAGAAGCCGCTAAAGGGAACGGGGTTCTGGAAACTCGGACGTAGCAACACGGACGCAGGGGGCTGATTCTTCTCTCATCAGGAGTCGGATCAGAGGCAGGTGTAGGCATCTGGGACCTGGAGCCTCACCTCCATCCTCAGCCCTCTAGCTCTCTGCCTGCTCCCCTGGCCCCAGGGCCTCCGGCGGTCTGGGCCAGGGACACTTACCCTGCACAGTGAGGACCACGTGCTTGTGGGCCACACCCGCGGAGTTGCGGGCTGTACAGGTGTAGCGGCCAGAGTGGATGGGGAGGGCCTGCCCAATCTCCAGGGCACCTGTGGGTGGGAATGGGACATGGAGGGGGTGAAGGGATCGGGGACAGAGGTCCCCAGTGACGGAGGTGGCAGAGCTCCCACACACCCCCACCCTAATGTCTCTGGTCCAGGCCACTCAACCTGTCCATTTGTAAACAGTATGCAGGATCAGACGGTGTGGGAACCTGGCATCTAGGCCTGCCTCTGCTCCCTCCCTGAAGCATAACTGTGGGCAAGTCCATTCCACTCTCTGGGCCTCAGTTTCCCCATGTGTACAATGAAGAATCAGACAAGATGGTCGCTAGACCCTTCTGGCTGTGAAATTCCAGGACCTTCCACTGCCCTGGCCAGTATCCCTGGCCCACAGCTCCGCATCCCACTGCTCTCACCGTGCTTTGCTAAAAACACGCCTCCACCAGGAAGCCTTCCAGGATGTTGCCTCCTCTGTCCTCCCCTGGCCCCTCCCCCCCTTAGCCTTGGTTACTCAGCGGACACCATCTTAACCTTCCCAGACTGCAGGCTACACCCCAGCAGTCGAGTGAAGTGGTTTCTAAATTGTCTTCTGTGGACCCCTGAGGGCCTGCTGGGTGGGTGAGGGGAGCAAGCCCACTGGACTCTGGGCACCTCCAGCCCCAGACGGCACTGGAACTGTGGCTTGTTTTACATGCTGGGCTTTGCTGGCACCACTTGGTGGAAGGAAGTGCACCATTGCTTCGGAAGAAAACCACAGATACGGTTCCTAGACTTTAGGATTTCACTAATTAACCA